CCTTAGCGTGCCCCCCTCCTCGCCCTCCTTCTCGTGCTTGCCTCCTCGCCCTCCACCTCGTCCTTCCTCTCCTCGTCCTTCCCCTCCTCGTCCTCCTCGCTCTCCCTCACGCTCCCCGTGCTCCCCTCCCTAGGAAGCCTGCCTTCCTCGTACTCCCTCGGGACTCCTCCTACTTGTGGAATTTGTTTGACTATTGTTTGCCTGTGGGTTGTTGTTGGGTGGTCATTTCCGCTGGCGGATTTTGTCCTCTGGTCGATACTCCTGTGCGACAGAGGAAACTTGAGCTTGTTTGTGCAATGATTGAAAGATATTTCACTACATATCCAATCGAGTCGGCGCGTCGTCGTCGTCGTCATCGTCTCCGTGGTCGTCTCGATCGTCGTCGTCTTCGTATGGGGGTCGCGCGCGTAATCGTACGCAGTAAGAGCTCGCCATAAAGGTGGTGAGCGTGGGCGGTGTGTGTGTGTAAGTGTGTGACACGCGCGCCATTGTTTGCCCACTATTGTTCGCCAGCGGGTTGTTGTTGGGTGGTTATTTCTCCCGGTGGATGTTGCTTTCTTCTGGTCCCCCCTGAACGACAGAGGAATGTTCAGTTTGTTTGTAAAAGGGTTGGAAGATAATTCGATGCATCTTCAATCGAGTCGGCGCCGTGTCGTCGTCGCCGTGAGCGTGGTCGTCGTCTTTCATATGGGGAAGGGACCCTAAGCATCCTAAGGATCCCCAGGATCCCCTAGGAATCCCAAAGGAGTCTTAGGAATCCTGGGAGTCCCGCGGAACCCCAGCACTGGCCGTCGTGGGAGGGACATGTTTGTTCCCAGTATTGCATTCGGTTCCAATCCGCCAAGCAGCCCGCGCCCAAGAAAATAGTTCCCATAATAAAAACATATTGCTTATTTAGTCGCTTCGCTCATTCCGCCGGCCCTGGAGCGTTATTTGGGGCCTCTTGGGGCCGTCTTGGGGGCTTCTTGGGGGCTTCTTGGGAGCGTTTTAGGGGCTCCTTGGTGGCGCATTGGGCTCCCCTGGGGCCTCTTGGGGGCCCCTTGGGGCGGGAGGGGGGGTAGTCGATTGCAGCCCCCCCTCAGAGGCTACAATCCTCGTGAGGGGTGGCGAAAAATAGCCTCCCCCCCAGGGATCGGCCAGGACCCGGCCGGGGATCGGCCGGGGTATTTGTCTTCCGGGGCCCCCCAGGGGCCGCCCCGCGCGCGCGAACTAGAAATATTGTTAAGTAGTTACCGGAGATCTTAGCACGCTTCTGGTCCGTTGGGCAATCCCGCGGAACCCCAGCACTGGCCATCGTGGGAGGGACATGTTTGTTCCCAGTATTGCATTCGGTTCCAATCCGCCAAGCAGCCCGCGCCCAAGAAAATAGTTCCCATAATAAAAAAAGATGGTTTATTTAGTCGCTTCGCTCATTCCGCCGGCCCTGGAGCGTTATTTGGGGCCTCTTGGGGCCGTCTTGGGGGCTTCTTGGGGGCTTCTTGGGAGCGTTTTAGGGGCTCCTTGGTGGCGCATTGGGCTCTCCTGGGGCCTCTTGGGGGCCCCTTGGGGCGGGAGGGGGGGTAGTCGATTGCAGCCCCCCCTCAGAGGCTACAATCCTCGTGAGGGGTGGCGAAAAATAGCCTCCCCCCCAGGGATCGGCCGGGGATCGGCCGGGGTACTTGTCTTCCGGGGCCCCCCAGGGGCCGCCCCGCGCGCGCGAACTAGAAATATTGTTAAGTAGTTACCGGAGATCTTAGCACGCTTCTGGCCCGTTGGGCAATCCCGCGGAACCCCAGCACTGGCCATCGTGGGAGGGACATGTTTGTTCCCAGTATTGCATTCGGTTCCAATCCGCCAAACAGCCCGCGCCCAAGAAAATAGTTCCCATTAAAAAAAAAAATTGTTTATTCAAGACCTCCCGCGGTTAGCGCTCATCCGCGAGAGCCGACGAGATGGTACGGGAGGCTCTCACGAGTTGCCACCGAGGCCGCTTGACGGACCCTGGGGCCGAAGCGCCGTCCTCCGAATGCCCAAAGCACGGTGGCAACAAACACCGGCCGATCCCTGGCGCTCGTCTCGAGCGGTGCTTGCCGCTGCCGGGTGTGGTGGGGGAGTCGGCGGGAGGGGCCGGGCCCACAGGCGGCGCCCCTGCGGAGCATGGCCGGCATGGGCTTCCAGCCGCCGAGCAGGGGGCAGGGCGGGGGTAGGCGCGCTGCGCCGCGCCGCGCTCCACTGCTCGCCAAGTGCCTACGCGCAAACGTCCGAACAAAAGCAGGCGCTAGCCTGGATGTAATGGATCGTAAATCCTCCGCGGCGGATCCAGGCCATCTGCGAGTAGTCACGCATTTTTGGAGCTCCCCGCCGATATCCTGGATTTGCGTTGGAGCCCACTGGCGGCGCCTGCAGCGCCGCCCCCTGTCGTGCTCCGCGCGCCAGAGAGGGGCCTCTGGTGCCGAGCCGAGCAATCCGCGCGGACGTCAGAGTTTGTCTGTGTTTAATGCCACTGTGTGTTCCCCGAGCCGTGGCGGCAAACTCCTCGGCGCTCGCGGCGGGCACCCGGTCGGCAGGTTTGTCAGAGGAGGCAGAGAGGCACCGAAGTACCATTGCCCCCTCCCCTCCCCTCCCCCTCCCCATCGACATTTCCAGAAGCCGATGGAGGTTGATCGATGGACAGGGATGGATGGTTGTCCCGTCGTTGATCCACCCCCCAATCTCCTTGTCGGCTTTGCTTCGGGCTGGTCTTACAGGTAGGACTGACGGGACGGTCGGTCCCTGCCCAACCAACGTATTGAACCGTGGTTTTGGATGTGTTCGTCTGCTCTTGGGGGGGCATGTCGTTCCGGGATGGCTTCCAGCAGCTGCGCCGCGTCGTCCTCCTTCCTCCCGCCGTCGACTTTCGAGTCGGACGAAAGGTGGGGGGATCGGGAGAGAGAGGGGGGGTACGAAATCTGCCGCATGCAGCTCGTCTCGGCCCCGCCGCTGGGCGCCTTCCTAAATGCACGTGCGCCTGCAGCAGCGGGAGGCGGTGGGATTGGTGCGTCTTCGGGGAAGGCTTGGAACACTTCTCGGAAGGCTGGGGGACCCCCGAGCCTTCTGAGAAGGCCCGCCCCTTCTCGCTCCCCCCCCTCGCTCGCCCCCGACTTGCGTCCGAGACCCGAGCCCTGGGGGGGCTTCCGCCAGGGCCCGTCTTGCCTCCCGAGCCGTCTCCGGTGGCGCCCCCCCCCTGGGGGGTGTGGGGCCCTTGTGGGACTTCGCCCCTGAGGTGCCCGGAAGCGGCGAGCGGCCTCCAGAGGGTTCCCCCTCCTCCAGGACCCGTCGCCCTCATGCGGACCCTCCTCCTCCTCCTCCTCCCTCCTCCTCCTCTCCTCCTCCTCCTCCTCCTCCTCCTCCGCATCGTCGTCCTCCTTCCTCCTCCCCCCCTCCTCCTCCTCCTCCTCCTCCTCCTCCTCCTCCTCCGCTCCTCCTCCTCATCCTCCACCTCCTCCTCCTCCTCTCCTCCTCCTCCTCCTCCTCCTCCTCCTCCTCCTCCCTCTCGCTCCTCATCCTCCTCCTCCTCACTCCTCCTCCTCCTCCTCCTCCTCCTCCTCCTCCTCCTCCTCCTCCTCCTCTCCTCCCTCCTCCTCTCCTCTCTCCTCCTCCTCCTCCTCCTCTCCTCCTCCTCCTCCTCCTCCTCCTCCTCCTCCTCCTCCTCCTCCTCTCCGTAGCCATTTTGGCTCAAGATGCCTAGTTCCACAGTGGAACAAGTGGATACCGCTAGTCCGCGGCCAGTGCCAGGGCTCTTGAGCCCGACAGCCCCTTCTCGATCCCAAGTGCAGACTGCAGCACCATGGCTGGCGCCGGCCGAAAGGAACGCCAGGACTGGGCTTGCAGGAGCTGTACGACGAAGCGCGGCAAGCCGCTCATCAACTTCGGGACCTCGCTCAAGTGCCAAGGGTGCAGGCTCCACAAGAAGGACGTGTACGGCGGGCCTGTGCCGCCGAAGGAGCCCTCGATGCGGGCCCCAGCCAAGGGCAAGAAGCGGGCCCCGTGGACGGCCGAGGGCAAGCTCGAGGGCGAGCTCGCGGCCATGCGGGCGGAGCTCGACGCTGCCAGGAAGAAGCTTCGTACGCAGGAGTCCGACCAGGGCGGGGCCGCGGCCATGCACGTGGACGACGGCAAGTCAGGCGAGGACGCCTCGGCTGCGAGCGAGATCAAGGTGTGCGAGGCAGGCCTGGCCACGCTCAAGGACGTGCAGCACGACTGGGCCACGGGCCCGCGGGAGGATCTCAAGCGCAGGCTCGCCGCCGCCAAGGACAGGCTCTTCGCCGCCAAGCCGCTCCACGCGCGGGTGCAGGCGCTGGCCCACAGGCAGAAGAATCTGGCGGACAAACTCAGCAAGATGGAGCTGGCCGAGCGCGAGGCGGAGGACCGTGTCAAGAAGGCGCAAGACGAGCTGGAGCTCAAGCGGCATGGTGTCAGAGAGCTCAAGGCGCAGCAGGTGGCCCTCCAGGCGGAGCAGTCGGCACTCCAGCAGCAGGTCCCAGTCGCGCCAGAGGATCGTCCGCCTGGGCAGTCCATGGAGCACGACGTCATCAAGAACACGGGCGGCCTCACCCTCGGCGACCTGGCGCAGGCTCTCAGCGGTGCTCTGGCCGCTCACCCCGACGACACCATGCAGACCGCGGGCGATTTGCCGCAGCGGCTGGCCTCGGCGCTCGGCGGGCCCCTCCAGGAGCTCATGCTGCGGCGGCAGCGCGAGCGGGCCGCCGCCACGGAGGCAGCGAGCGCCCCTCGCACCCCTGCAGCGTCCGTCGAGGGAGACGACGCCGCCGCCGCCGCGCATGGCGCAGGCACTGCAGGCGGCGCCGCCCCTGCAGCCGCAGCGCCGCGCTGGGATCCCGCCGCGATGGAGCCCGAGAAGCTGCGGCAGACCATGGCGGAGTTCTCGCCAGGGCCAGCAGAGGAGACCAGCGACGCCATGCTGGCGCGCGCCACGGAGCTGGCCGTCAGGGGCTTCAATCCTTACTAAGCTCATCATCGCGATGTCCTGCACACTTGCGATGGCGAAAGGCACTATCACTACCAGCAACGTGACTTCCTGGGGTTCATTGGCGCCGTGCCTAGAGACCCTCGAGTCGCACGTCGTTCTCGTCCAGGAGCATCACCGACGGGACGAGGCGAAGCTCGCCGACCTGCAGCACGAGGTGCTGGATCACGGGTTCGCGGGCATCTGGGCGCCAGCAGTGGCAGGCCCCACCTCCGCGGAGGGCACTACGGGCGGCGTCGCGGTCTTGGCCCGCAAGAACATCCCCGTCACGGCCCCGCCGCTGCTGCCCTCGGCGACACTGTGGCCAGGGCGACTGGTGGCCGCCCACGTGCACTGGGGAGTCCGTGGCGGCATTGTCTTCGTGTCGGCCTACCTGGTCGACAGCGTTGGCATGAACGACGTGAACCGAAGCATCTTCGGCGCGCTCACTCGCTACCTCACGAAGCTCACGGCCTCGGGCATCGATTGGATCGTCGGCGGCGACTTCAATGGGCCTCCCAGCTGCCTGCCCCTGGCGCAGTTGGAAAAGGCGGGGGGCCTCTGGCTAGCGCCGTCGGCCGACACCTGCCGCCCACAGGCGGGCAGCGGCTCGGTGCTGGACTACTTTCTGGTCGGTGCAAACCTGGCCAGCCGCATCTCGGCTCCGAGAGTGGATGAGTTGGGCATCACCTCCCCGCACCTCCCTGTCAACATGGAGCTGCGTGCCGCCGACCTGGACATGCGCGTGAGGATCCCGATCGCCCCCAGGGCGATTCCAGCGGTGCCGCCCATCGGCTGCAGCCGCGGTGTCGAGGACTGGGCGCCCACTTTGGCCCAGGTGCGCGCCACAACCAGCGCCGAGGAGCTGCCAGCAGCCTGGGACGCCGTCGTCAGCACCTTGGAGCAGGAGCTGTTGGACCGCTACGACCAGGTTGGCGAAGCGCGCAGGCGGTTCGAAGGACGTGCGGGGCCCATTGCGACCAAGCTGGCGCCAGTCAAGTGGAAGCCGCAAGGGCAGCGTGTCCGATTGGGGCCTGATGTCATCGCGGCCAAGGTCGCGGGCCGATGGGCGCGTCACTTCATGGGGGTCAGCGCGTTCCTCGCGAAGGCCAGCAGGAGGCTGCAAACCGCCAGCCTGCAGTGCTCCCTTGTCCCTGAGCAGTACCACGAGCTGGCGGACTTCGTCGCGAGGGCTTTGGAGTATGGGCGCGTGGTATGGACAGCAAGAAGACGCTGGCACTGCTCCCGCATTGGGTGAGGTCCTTCTTCGAGCAGGGCTTTCGCGTGATCGGCAACACCGACTTCCTGGAGCAGGCGGGCCGCATCGTCCAGTTCGCCAAGGACGCCCACGCGGACGCGCTCAAGGTCAGGCAGCAGAGCTGGATCCAGTGGGCCAACGACAGCCTGCGGAACGGCGCTGGCAAGGCGCACCGCTTCACCAAGCTGCGGGCGATGCAGGAGGTGCTGGCGCAATGGCAGGGCACCCACACCGAGCTCACCACTGGACGGCTCGCCCAGACCTTCGTCCCGCAGCAGCAGGTCGCCAGCCAGCACCTGATCTGCGACCGGGAGATGAAGGCCTGGGAGGACGTCTGGTCGTGCCACAAGCTCGAGGCGCTGGAAAGGCCAGCTGACTTCGACGAATGGGACGACCTCGAAGACCTCACCGTGGAGGCGCTGCAGCGGGCCGCCTGCAGCTTCCCCACCACCACGGCGCTCGGCCCAGCGCAGATCGGCATGCGCGCGCTCGCCTTTCTCACGGACGACGGCGTTTACACCTGCGGCCAGCTCTTCATGAAGTGCGAGGCGCTGGGGGCTTGGCCCAGCGAAAGGCTGTGGCACGCTATGTGCCGCATCCCCAAGGCCTCTGGCGGCTGCAGGCTGATCACGCTGATGCACTCGCTAATCCGATGGTGGTCGAGGGCTCGTGCCTCGACGTCCAAGGCGTGGCTGACGGCGCACCCCAATGCCAGTATTTGGGGCATGGGCGGCGGCAGATCTTCCTCCGACTCCGCCTTCGACCTCAACCTTGAGACGGAGGTATCGGACTGCCTGGACGAGCACGTCGTAATCGTCATGCTGGACGCCTGGAAGTTCTTTGAGACGATTAAGCCCGAGTGGCTACTCATCGAGGCGCGGCTGCTGGGCATGCCGCTGCGGTTGGTCTGGATGTTGATTGAGCTATACAGGCAGCCGAGGCGGCTGCAAGCTTTCGGCTCGGTGTCCTACGCGGTCGTGTCACATCAGGGCGTGCTCGCAGGATGCACTCACGCCTGTGCCATGGTCACCTTGCTCATGTTCAGGCTGCTCGAGCAGGTGCGAGATGCAGGCGTCACCCCGAGGGCCCTCATCGACGACGTCACCTTGCAGTGGCGCGGGAGGCGGCTCTCGCAACTGGGCGTGCTTTGGGCGGCCACCACCAGGTTCCGCGAGGGCGCCCAGGAGCGAGGCATTGTCGTGCAGCCCACCAAGTCGGGCTACTTGGTCTCATCGGACGCGGCTGCTCGCGAGTGTGCCCGACACGCGGCGGCCCGCAAGCTGACCAAGATGCGCTGGGCCCGCAACCTGGGGCACGATCTGGGCGGGCGCAGAATCGCTAGGCTCCAGACGGCAAAGCGGGTGCGGCAGCTCAAGGAGCGGCGCGGCAAGTTGGCAGCTTTCAAAGGGGCAGTGGGCAGGCGCGCTACCTGCCTGTGGAAGACGGGCCTCATGCCGAGTGCGGCGCACGGTGCTGGGGTGTCAGGGCTCACCGACGATACGCTGCAGGTGCTGAGGGCCGAGGCTGGCAGGCTTGCAGGGGCTCGGCCAGGTGCATCGAGCGTCACGGTGTATTTAGCCACGCAGAAGGCGCGCGAGTACGACCCCATCTACGGCGCCACCTGCGACATCGTTTGCCGATACGCCAGCTGGATCTGGGAACAACGCACCTCCCTGGCTAGGCTCCACAGGGCCTGGGCCAAGGTCACGGAGCGGCTCGTGGGGCGCCCGTCCTGGGCAGGGGCTCGCGGTCCCATCGCCTCCGTCACGCTGACGCTCTGGCGCATCGGATGGCACATGTACTCCAGCACGACCCTGGTCACCGACCAGGATACGGCGATCAACCTCCTCACCACGTGCCCGAAGGACGTCAGGATGCATCTGACCGGCGGCGTGCAACGCTGGCAGGCGAGGCAGATCGCGGCGCACCACCGCCAGCACGGCGAGGTCAAGCCTTGGGTGCGGGCCATGCGGCTCTGCGTGGGCGACGGGCGCGCGGCGTTGGCGGAGGGCCCGTCGGCCACCAGCCTGCGTCACCACTGGGCAACGGTGGCCTGGACGCAACAGGCCCAGCACGACCTTGGGCTGGCGGCGGCGCCGAATTGCAGGGCCTGCGGACATCCGTCCGACTCGCCTGGGCACAGATTTTTCGGTTGCGAGGTACTCGTGCAGCCGCTCACAGAGGAGGAGCAGGACGAGCAGCTGCCGCCCGAGCCGATGCAGGCCACCCGCACCTTCATGTGCGACAAAGGCCTGCAGGAGGGCGGCAGCTTCGAGAGCGCCGACTTCCAAATGTGCTTGCCCTGCATGCCGCCATTCGTGCCGCCCGCCGCGGAGCAGGCCGAGGTGAAGTTCTGGGGCTGCTGGCCTAGCCAAGGGGCGGACACGGCTTCCTGCAGCAACGCCGTCTTCACCGATGGCTCAGGCTTCGCGTCCAGCATGCCCGAGCTGAGGCGCTGCGGATGGGCCTTCGTGCAGCTTTCCCTCCAGGGACTGCCTGTTCGGGCGGCGTTCGGGGCGCTGCCAGGGCCGCTCCAGACGGTCGGGCGCGCGGAGAGGCACGCGCTGCTGCAGGCATTGCGGCTCGCGGGGCCGCAGCTCGAGTTCGTCTTCACCGACCTTCTGTCGATGGAGAAGGAATGCAGCCACTGGGGGCAGGAGCTAGAGGAGGCGCGAGCGGCACATGCCACAGTGTGGAGACGGATTCGTGCCCAGCCAGCGCGGCCTGAAGTGAGATGGATCCCCGCGCATCAGGACATGGATGCGTACTTGGACCGAGGCCTCCACCCGTTGCTGTACTCTGGCAACATGTGGGCCGACTGGTTCGCTCGGCAAGGAGCCATGCAGCACACCGTGTCGAAGGTGTACGAGGAGTTCTACAACATCGAGCTGCAACACTACAAGAGCCTGGCAAAGTACGTCGGCTGGGCGATGCAGAGGACGATGCACGCAGGCCGCTGGGATGCGCCCGAGCAGACAGCCCGCCCGCCAAAGGTGCCCAAGGTGCAGGCGGCGACTGTGATCAGCCACTCCCTGGTTCGCCTGAACGGGACGGCGGTGGTGCTGTGCCGCGCTTGCTGCAGGCAGACCAGCGGGCAGACGGGGCCCACATGGACGCAGTTCGCGCGTTCAGCTTGCGAGGCCAGCCAGTACACCGCGCTGCGGGCCGAGGCCATCATCGCGCACGTCGGCGCGCAGCCCATTGTGGTCTCGGAGGCGGGCGAGTTCGCTATGCAGGCGATCGAGCGCGCGGCGTGCCCCGAAGATGCGGGGCCCAGGCCAGCCGAGCCTGCCCCCTGGGGCTCAGGGGACGGCACCATCGAGATGCAGGGGCACAGGCTGAGGCGCGCAGGGCCCACCATCTACTGCGAGGTATGCGTGGCGTGGGCGGCGACAGGCTCCTCACTGGCCCTGGCTGCGCCCTGCGCTGGCCCGCCCAGCGCCGAGGGCAAGAACCAGCGCACCTACCTGTCCAACCTCAGGGCGCGGCTCAAGAAGCTCAGCCAAGGGCTGCACCCCAAGACAGGAAAGGTGCTTACTTGGGGAGGTGCAGGCGAGGCTCCAGACGGCCCCAGAACATGGGCCACAGCGGCGGCCAGCGCGGCCGCGGGCGACATGGCCTCTGGGGGCGACGGCGCTGCAGAGCGGCCAAGCGGCAGGCACGCGCAGAAGGAACAGGGCGAGGCGACCAGGCCTGGCCAGGACCACGAGATGCGCGAGGTGCCTGCAGGGGCTGGAGGTTCCGACGCAGTCCAGACCAAGAAGCCTGCTTGGCGGGTGCGACGGCAGGAGCTCCTGGAACGGATGCAGCGAAGGCAGCAGCATCTGCTAGCCGAACGTGGTCCAGCAGCCGCCAGCGGCGCGCAGCGTGATGAGGGAGACATGGCCGACGGCAGCTTGCCCTCGGCCTATGGAGCGCACCAATGCCCCGACGGGGGCACCACTGGACTGGTGACGCTCCAGCCGCCGCCAGCTGCCCCAGACGTGGGGGTGGTCGATGCCTGTCTGGCGGCGGGGCCGTCGCGGCTGCCTGCGCCCTTGAGGTGCGACCTGGCACACGAGGTGACGCTGACCACGGACCACCAGGAGGGCGCCGTGACCAGCCCTCAGGACATGAGCAGCCCGCCGCAGCCGTTCTCGACTACCGATATGGCCAGCACCAGGGGTGGCAGGGGACCTGCAAAGTGCGGTCGCGAATGCGGCCCCGCCCTGAGTGCTGGCAGGTCTGACAACTCGCAGCGGGCGATGCCAGGCATGGCCAGTGACAAGGGTGGCAGGAGGCCTGCAAGCCGCGACCCTGAGTGCGGCCCCACCTTGGGCACTGGCGGCGACGGCAGCCAGGCCCACCGCGTGCGGCGACGATTTACGGCCTGGGCCAGGGGTGGCAGGGGACCTGCAATGTGCGTGCGTGAGTGCGGCCCCGCCCTGAGCCCAGGATGCGACGAGGACCGCGACGGCAAGGGTATGGCCAGCGCCAGGGGTGGCAGGGGACCTGCAAAGTGCAGTCCTGTGTGCGGCCCCGCCCTGGGCACTGGCAGCGGGTCTCTGGAAGCGGCGTCGCCTGAGGAGGACCAGCGGCAGCCGCAGCTGGCTTCTGGGGAGGCGTGTCCACGTGCAGCTACGGCTGGTGCCAGGGGTGGCAGGGGACCTGCAGTTTGCGGTCCTGAGTGCGGCCCCGCCCTGAGCACCAGCACCCACCCCGAGCGGCGACGGATTACGGCCTGGGCCAGGGGTGGCAGGGGACCTGCAATGTGCGTGCGTGAGTGCGGCCCCGCCCTGAGCCCAGGAAGCGACGCGGACCGCGACGGCATGTGCATGGCCAGCACCAGGGGTGGCAGGGGACCTGCAAGTGCCGACCGTGTGTGCGGCCCCGCCCTGAGTGCTGGCAGAGTTGCGGTGGCTCGGCCTGAGCCAGCGCAGCCGAGGCGCAGCGTCGCGCCCAGGCTTGAGCTGCAGGTCGCTGGATGGGCGCGGTACTGGACCCAGGCTCCCGAGGTCGGCGAGACGATGGAGTGCTACAGCGAGTGGCTCGACCACTGCGTCGGCTACGTCACGCAGATCCTGTCCCAGCCGCGCTTCGCCACCAGGCTGCGGGCGCGTGGGAGGACGGCCGAGGAGATGGCCGAGGAGATCTGCGAGCGGGCCTGGGGGACTGGCATGCCCGCGAGGCGGGCCTACTACAGGTGGCGCCACACGCTGACGCGGTCGCAGAGGATCGTGTCGGACTGCATGCGGCGCTACGACTACGTGCGCCTGCGGACGTGGCTGGCCGAGCTGCGGCGGGAAGGGCAGCCACCGCCCATTGGCCCGCTCAGAGCGCCTTCGGTGCCGTGGAATGCGGGACGCAGGAGGCGACGGAGAAGTGGTTGAGGGTCGGCCTCTCATGGCACGGGCAGCCGCTGCGTGGCGTTCTGGCCCCAGCGGCTCGCCGCAAGGCGCTGCGCGGCGGTCTGGCCCCAGCGCGCCGCCCTTCGCGTCCGTCGACGTGATCGGCATCGCTGGCCTCCCCTGAGGCTGCGGCCCCCTGGCCGCCTGTGCTGCGTCTAGTTGGCCTGGCCGACGCGACGTCCTGCCGCTGCTCTCCGCTGCTCTCCTCCTCCTCCTCGTCTCTTCATCCTCCTCCCTCCACTTCACTTCTTCTCCTCCTCATCCTCCTGCTGCATCCTCCTCCTTCCGTCCTCCTCCTCCTCCTCCTCCTCCTTCCGTCCTCCTCCTCCTCCTCCTTCTCCTCGCCATCTCCTCCCTCCATCTCCTCCTCCTCCTCCGCCTCCTCCTCCTCCTCCGCCTCCTTCCTCGTCGTTTCTCTTCCTCCTCCTCCTCATCCTCCTCCTCCTC